AGCTTGGCTCAGATGAAACCTTAAAATAATCCCTAAAACCTAGCCCAACCCGACTTCACAGCGCAGCTTAGAGCCGTTGCCAGTCGGAAGCTGCACGTAGAGACCGCAAGACTCTTCTGTAATAATATGTGAGGGTTTAGGCATATCTGACCAATACTCTTCCTCTGGGAGTTTAGGTCATGGTTTAGAGGCAGGGGTTCTGGATCTGTTGTAGTAGAACATTTATTATACCCCGAAACCTTAGTTTGGGCATTCACTGATTTGCTACGCCATGAAAACATGCATGTCAGCTTGCAGGAAGTATGTGGCGCCCTACGTCACGCTGCTTGGCAGTCCTTGCGTCAGCTCGAAGCTCTAACTCTGAGGGTCCATGATGGTCCATGTGCCCAAATAGTATATACTTTGACCGCAGAGTAAAAGCATAGGGAACACTTTAATTCCAAAGTATGCATGGCCCCTTCCACCCCAAGTTCTTACGGTACTTGCCGCTATAGAAAACTTTTTGTACCCTTGAAGGAACCCTTAGAGTACATGGACCCTTAAGGGCATTAGGGTAAGCTGCGCCTAGCCAGCCTTACCTCGAGAAGTACCCCGAAGGTTGCCGCTCCAGAAGTGGCAAGCAACGCAGTCCCAAGAATTATTATGAACGAATTCAACACACACACACACACACATACTTTTTCATATAGCATACACCAAATAGACAGAGAGCAACAGCTTGTTTCGCAATGTGCGGTTTTCGTTCCGGACGCTGCATGCTGGCTTCGTTTTCAGCTTGGCGGATCATGCACAGTCGTGTTCAAACCCGATGTGCAAGAAGAGCTCAGGATCTGGGTGCTGTTGCTGGGGCGCAGCATTCGAAAAGCACTCATGCGGTCAGGTCTGGAGGCCAGGATCGTGTGAACGACGAGACTCACGACGTTCAACGGGGGTGCTCGAAGGTTAGCAATTTGTGCAGCACCTTCTCATCCATGTCCTGGGCCTTGCCAGGGGTCGAAGAGGTTCACTTGTTTACCCTAAACCCGAAACCCTCTTGGAAGGCAGGAGGCTTCGTGGAATGCCCCTGCAAGGACTGCAGCAGATTCACCCCGAGAGTCATAGGCGTCAGCGCTCAACTCAGCACAGCTTCCCCCAAAGGCCTAAACCCACGAATGGCGACCTCTCGTAATCACAGTCTTTGATGCTTTATGGTTATCATTATTATTTAATGTTCTTTTATTATCATTAGCACTATCAGTATCGTCATTATTGTTCTTATCATGTATTATTGTCATTTTTATTTATAGTTATTACTGTTATTCGTGTAATCTTTTCCTACCCTCGACCCGAAAACCCTAGGCCTTAAGCCCCAAATCAGTTGAGTTTGGGCTTTAAGGAACCCAAAGCACCCTGAACCCCAAGCCTGCAACCCAAATCGCGGAACAACAGTGATCGCTTTGTTTTGGTGTTGTTGTTCTTATTGTTATGATCATCATTACCTTGATTTTGTTATCATTATCATTATTAATCATAATCAATCCGCGTTGTAGGACCTGGTGGTTACCTACCCCAAACTCCTACCTGTTGAAGGCTGTTTGCCCCTCACACTGCGTGTTGGTCCCTCGCCGGGATGCACTTCCGGCGGCGCTGCGGGGCACAACAAAGGCACGACTTCGGGTGCCAGCATAGACTTCGACCGGTGCTACTGTGTTACGAAGGTTGAAGGTTTTGCGTTTAGGCTAGGCTGTGGTTAGCAGGAAGTTGGTGTTTTACAAGTGCAGTAGTCGTTGTTGACACTGTTGCTGCTAATGCTATTGATGCTGTGGTTGCCGGTATGTTGCTTATTCCCCTACTGGCAATGCTCCTAACTTTTACTGTCTACGACTACGGTTGCGATTCTTGTATTGTTGTTGATGTTGCTGCTGCTGCTGCTGTTGTTGGTGTTGTTGCCATAGCTGTGTGGTTGTTCTAGTGTCACAGAGTTCGGGTGTCGCTTGGGCATTGGGTTTGCGTTCGGAGTGTCCAAACCTGAGCCTCTGTGTACACGATGTGGGTTCGCATAGCCGGTGCTTTTTGTGTTTTAATACAGACATCACAGATCAGATCAACAGTGTAGACTTTTAGGATCGCATCAGTGCTTCTAGTGTAGACCATGGAATCAAACCTCAAGCGCATTCTATGAGGAATCTCACGGGATCTACACCCGAAAGCCTGTAAACCACCTGTAAGTCCGGCATGAATCTGCAGAGCCTCTTAAACCAGAAGCACTAGACCGACACTGTCATTGCCAGTGCTAACCCAGGGATCCCGACTTTCCCCGAAAGACATGGAGGCTTCCCCAAGTGAAGGAGCATTTGTACGAGTCCCGGAGAATCGGGACCTCACTATAGACCGTGAGTTAGGATCCATTTGCAAGGACCCCAACACAAGGTTTGCTTTGGCAAGGCTGTCTAAAGGCTGTCTAAAATGCTTCGAGGAGGCTGAAGTCTTTTGTCTGCGGAAGGTTTGTGGGGTGAGGGCATCAGTAAGGGCTGCAGGCTCAGACAGGGCAGCCTTCAAAGGGTGCTGTGTGTGTGCGCTCTTTTTCTCCAAACTCTGGAGTATAGGTTCAGAGGTGGCAACAGACATAGTTGAGATGCTGGAGGGGTCGGCCTTGCACAGCGGCCGACTCTTGATTGTCCGAACTAGCTCCGAGTTCGCGCCAGACACCTGCAAGCTCCAGGACCCTCCCCGTACCCAGTAGGGGTATAGTACACGGTATAACCTGTAACCTTTAACCTTTTGGGGCTTATATAGACTTGTTATAATTCAATCGGTTAACCTTTTTTGGGCTAAGGTACTCGGCCCCTAGTTTTATAGAGGGCAGATGGAGGGTCCGGGCTCTGCCCTGTATTCCAAACCTTCAACCCCACACCTGAGACTTAACAAACCCCACTAAACCCGAGCCACCCAAAGCCTACACCCTCAATTCCCAAACTCGCCCGCTGAAAAAAGCATCAGAAGATTTATTTCAGACGCCTTAATAATTAGAACAGGGCTTTGGGGTGTATTGTATTTAATAGATTTCGCATAAGGCACCCCCCAAAAAAATAGTATTGGTGTAGTCATTTAGGCCCCGATATTAAGCTGCCAAAGGCCTCGGGGGAAGCCAAGGAGCGGAAGGCGCAATTTTCGGAGATTTCGGCTAGTTCTTTTGGTTCAGGGAATCTTAGGGTTTAGGGTTTAGGGCCGAGTTTAGGGTTAGGGAATTGGGATTTCGTTCTGTAGGATTTGGGATCTAGGATTGTAGGCTCGAGGGACTTAAGTGTAAAACAGCCATGCAGCCAGAACTCTAAGGCTCTCTAAGGCGTTTCGCAAGGTTTTACAGGGTTTTGACTGACCACAGCAGGGAAGGCATGCTGTTCCCTACGCAGCCCGAATATGATAGGTCAAGTTCATAACATCCTGAGCAGGATCCATGTCTAAGGGGTGCCGATAAGCCAGGACCTCTACATGGTCTACTTAGTGGAATGATCTTGTGTATGTGGAGGTGTGTCCTAAAAGTCTCAAACTTCGGCATTCTAAGCACTCAACTTCCATCCGGGAAGCGGGGTTGCGGGCCACCCTCAGTCAACTTCAGAGCCTTGGTTTGTCGGTTCTGCTTTGGTTTGGATGTTGTAGTCCAACACAGGACATTGCGGAAGGCAATAGGCACAGCGTTCAGTTCTGAACCATCAGGAGTCGAAACAGCCGTAACGCCATGAAACACCGTAGCTTGAGTGCAAGCAGCGGCAACAATGATAGAATAGTGGCATCTGAGTAGCCTTACCATCCATAACATGTGCCAGCCACAAGAAGGCAAACACCTCAGACAGATAAGACAAGCACAAATGTGGCTGCTCGCGAAGCCGTGCGGAGGCCTTCAACGACTTCTGCAACTGGGACACCATTCATTCCCATCAAGTTACATGGGTGTAAATCAATGTCTTTTGCTTGGTCTCCACAACAATATGGCCTCGTTCAGCGATGGCTCCAAAGGTGCTTAGTTCCGCCCGGGTTACAGGCCCCAACATGTCCCTGCCTGATTCTTCAAGCCGTAAACTCCTTGCTCTCACTTCTGCGGAAAGCATGTACGGATGAAGACCCATGATGCTACATGTTAAGTATTTGTCTACAATGGCCAGTGCGACTGACTGCCACGAGCAAGAGGCTGAGGAATACTGATCACGAGCATCGATTCGAGGTCGAGCCAGAAACCTGGGCAAACTGTGCTTCGACTGGGCCAAACAGGCGGGATTGTAGGCTTGGGCCAATAATATAGAAGCCTAAGGCCTAAACGGGCCTATAGAATAATGACAACATTAGTCCTGAAGGTTCCTCATTATATTTATACTATTAAAGCCCCTACATTACTTCAATAGTCTATCCTGCATCCTGCGTTTCCAGTTCTAGCTTGAGATGCCACAGGTTCTACCCCCGCCCCCCCTTCCACCACAGAAGGGTTCACTTGTACTGCTCCCGCTTGCTGTTTATTTAGCTACTGCGACTGGCCATTAATTACGTGCAATTACTATTTCCTCTGCGACGACTACCAGCAGCTTTGCATACAGTTCTTGACTTGGATCCAGTCCCAGATGGCTCTGAACCCTTCCATCACCCAACAAATTCAATTGACTGAAGTCTTGGCAGAGTGAACTACCGGCCTATCAACTTGTGCAGGGCACATGCGGGTGTGCTGGAGCCAAGCTGAAGGCGCGATGCCTTGCATGGATCTGCCGAGGTGTTCGTTCTGTGACCGTTTGCAGATTCAGGGTCGTCTTTTCTTCATCATGCCCTTTTTCGTCGGGTAGGCAGTACAGCGTCCCTTGTCCGGATGAAACCATCAGCTGCAGCAGATGAAACTGCATGACTCAGGCGTCTAGCAATCCCGAACTGATGCTCAAGGCACAAATTCGATGCACGTGCCCAGAAGCGCGGGCAGCATAGTCTGCATGGCCAATCCCTGAGCCAGGTCTGGTTGTGCTCGAAGCACGCCGCTCACGATGCCGTTGCTCGCCTTGCGCGCCCCGTTTCGGTCATGTGAGCCATTCCTGGGCCTGCAGGTACGCTGTTTTGCCATGAAGGGCTTGGGAGGAGGAAGGAATCTGAAGCAGTGGTGCCAAACTCCTGCATCCACGATGAAGATGTTGCAGGAGCTGAAGCTTGCCAACAGGCCTGACTTGATCTACCAACTTCTTAAGGCTCTTGAAGTAGAAGGCCGGCTTCAGCTGAGCCCAGCCCACCTGACGGTAGGGATCACCGCCTGTTCTGGGGCGGGAGAATGGGAGCGGGCTCTAGCCCTTTTTGCTTCCATGCCCAAGCACAACGTATCTCGGGATACTATCAGCTTCAGCGCTGCTCTCAGCGCCTGCGAGAAAGGCAGGCAGTGGCAAATGGCCCTAGTTCTGTTCGAGTCGATGCAGAGGGAGGAGATAGCCCCCAATGTCATTACATTCAGTGCTGCCATCAGCGCCTGTGAGAAGGGCATGCAGTGGCCTCTGGCGCTGCACCTTTTCCATACCCTTCCCTCAGCAGAAGTCGCCCCCAACATCATCAGCTACAGCGCGACCATAAGCTCCTGTGAGAAGGGCCAACAGTGGCAGTTTGCGGTCAGCCTCTTGCACTCCATGCCTCGGGCGAAGATACGGCCAACCGTTATCAGCTATAGCGCTGCAATTAGCTCCTGCGAGAAGGGTGGGCAATGGGAGCTGGCGATGAAGCTATTCCACACCATGTCAAACAACCACATACATCCCGATGTCATCGCCTGCAGTGCCGCTATCCGTGCCTGTGAGAGGGGTGGACAGTGGCCTCTGGCTCTGAAGCTGCTATCCATCATGCCGGCACTTACGATAAGTCCTAATGTTGCTAGCCATTCTGCTGCCATTACCTGTTGCAAGCAAGGCGCGCAGTGGCAGCTTGCTGTGCACCTTCTGGGGGACATGCCCAAAGACCACCAGCCTGCACACATCATCGGCTACAATGCCACCATCGGAGCTTGTGGCAATGCTGGGAACTGGCAGCTCGCTTTGACCTTGATTGGGGGGATGAGCAAGGTCTCACTCCGTCCTAACGCTATGAGCTATGGAGCCACGATCAATGCCTGCTCGGCAAATGGGCAATGGCAAGCAGCTTTGTGCATGTTCACCGCCATGCAACTCGGCGTCGAGTCTGGTCTGTGTTGCAACCACATCCTTTGACACTACATACATAGCCGCTTGAAGATGCGCAACTCTCAACCCAGGCAGCAAGCAGCCGTTGACCCGAACCCGCTGTCTTACAGCAGCACCATCATCGCGTGTCTCTCGGCATGAGTTTGATGGGCCTGCGGACGCAAGTAGTAGAGATGTGAGGGGTCTGTGAGCGGCAGTGGTGCTTGTGGCTGTTTCTTTCGAAAGCACACGAATAGATAAATTGGTGAGACGGTAGTTGTGGTGGCAGGCATAGGAGAAGGTAAAAGCGTAGGAGTCGGGGCCGGGGCCGGGGCAGGAGTAGCAGTAGTAGTTGCAGCAGTAGAAGCAGTAGAGTTCCATATCGAGGTCAAACCGGGGCACAATGGCAGCAGGCTGTGCACCTTCTCAACATGATGCCGAATGCTCCTTGGGTGTGCAAAGACGACGAAGCGTGCACATGCGCGTGCACACACACACACACAACACACACACACGCCGTGATACACCTTGTTGAGATCTCCCTTTTTGTGCTTCTAAGTGTCGAGTTATTAGTTGACACGACGCGTGGCGAGAGATAGCGATTCGACGGGGAAATCGAGGCCCAGATCTTGCCGGACATCACGGACTTCCAGGCCGTCAATAGCTTGTGGGGTTGTGCAGGGCCCCACCCAAACCTGAATCCGCGATGGAGCTGCGAACCTTGGTAAACCACAAGCAGCCCTAAACTACAAACTCAAAGCTGCAAACCCGCAGGCCGTTGTCAGCGCCTGCAATCAAAGCTCGCAGCGTGCATGGGCACTGGAACTTCTGCGAAAGGAGAGATCAAGCAGCCAGTTCTTCCAGCGGTAGATCTTCGCAGGGTCATCGTCGCCATCATCACGCCCATCATCATTGTTGCCTCGCATGTGCTGGAAAGGAGTCGACGGCACAAGACTTCAGCACAAAATCCTACGCCCTTCAACCCCAAAGCCCAGTTAAGCCTTAAACCCTAAATAGGGTAACTTGCAATTACCACCAACGATGGAATTCGTTGCAGCTGCCTCGCGAAAAGAGAGTGTTGGGTTGGGGCCCGTTGCGGTTGAGCGCCTGGGGTTTGGATTTTGGCGACATAAGGGTTTTGGGTTTAGAGTGCAGGGCTTTACATCGATGGCTATGGTGTAGAAATTCCGGGACGTCGAATCATTTGGATTTTCAGATGCTGCCTGTGTTACCTCCAGTCTCTTCTTGGACGTAACTCTCCCATGCATGTATGTAGACGTTCCCATGTACCAATAGTGCAAAGACATCAACAAAGGTATGTCTATGTTTTGTTTCATCCTGAAGTTGTCTTTGGGTGTGCAGTGCAGATGCACTGGTCGTTGCTGTTGATGGTGCTGTCGTTGTTTCTGCTGCTGCTGCTGCTGCTGCTGCTGCTGGAGGCGGTGCTGGTGCTGGTGCTGGTGCTGGTGCTGGTGCTGGTGCTGGTGCTGGTGCTGGTGCTGGTGCTGGTGCTGGAGCTGGAGCTGGTGAAATGTGCTGGCTGGAAAGTTGTGGATGTTGGTTTGCTTGACACTAGTTGTCGAAATGACCTCAGTGTTGGCATTGCTGTGTTACAGGTTACCCTACACCTCGC